GGCAAAGTAAGATACAGAAATGAATAAATAGGATGCAAAAAGTAATAATTCCTCTCGCCTGTGTTACTATTACCGGTAGTTGTTCCAGAAGAGAAAATATAACAAAGATCATATTAAATACAAAGAAAATTGTATCTGGACGGTAATTACTCAGCAGCTCAGATTTGCACGACTCATGGAAAGACAATTTAGCAAAATATGTTGAAATTCAAAAAGTGAGTCTGGGAGCAGAAGCAGCCGTCACTACAAATCACTGACATGTGCACAGACACACACACACACACACACACACACACGGCTCGTCACCTGTCTCCACCGCGAACGCGGCATGATGAGGTACGAGCACAATGTATCCCCCATTAAAAAAAGATGAGAGCCAACTTTAAAGCCCATCCACTAACAGACGAGTCCACACAAACTCATAAATACAGCACTCATACAGCCCCCCCCCCCCCAAAAAAAACGCCCCCCAACCAGGACGGCAGAGGCAGATGGGGGAGTGGTGTGGTGGCTATTTTAGGCCGGACTGCAGAATGACTTGGACGAGACGAAGGGATGACGGCGGAGGAGGAAAGAGGAGGACGTGAGAGAGGACAGTGCGTCTGTGGCGGCTGGGGGTCACATTGTGGGAAGCCAGGGGGGGCTGCTTACTAAACACGCTAAATAAACAACAGGAACACACACACACACAAAGAACTAGATGAGACACAATGTTACAGCTTGACATTTTGGGAAATAAACTTATTTCCCAAGAACATAATAAGTGCTCCCTCTCATTTCCAGCTCACTAAACGCCCCTCCAGGCCGGCTCTCCTCACCGGATGCTGGGTTTTGAAATAACACAACTCATCATTTAGTTGTTCTCAATAACATGTTTTTATTGTCTAATAAGTATAAATTTAATCCTGGCCCTTAAACGCTCCCCTGATGACGACCGGAGGCAAACGCTCATTACGAGGCCGAGACGTTGATCAAATCACGAGATCACAGCTCAATAAAAGCAACGGCGGCTCGGTGGCTTTAACAACCTTTTATGTCGCTTTGCCGACGAGACAACAGACGTATTCTCCCGTCCCCTCCTCCTCCTCCTCCTCCTCCTCCACCTCCTCCTCCTCCTCCTCCTCCGGGCCGCCGCCTTACTGATGACAACACACATTTTGGGATCAAGTCAGGACTCCGGGGTCAGGAGGTGTCGCCATCAGCTCCGCTGAACCTGCACTTATGGACGTGCCGAATGTGATGGATGTCAGTCGGTGGTCTTTTTGAAGCGCAGTGAGACGTGCCGCTCGATCCCGCCGCTCCCTGGGAGAGACGGCTGCGATTGGCCAATCAGACAGACGTGCGGGACAATCTCCCCTCGCTTTGCCGATTCCTCGCTAACTTTTTGTTAAAGCTTCTACAACCTGACGCGCCCTCACCTTCACAACATGCGGCCGAATCCCGATGAGAATATGAATAAATAATATGCATAAAAAATTTCCAACAGAAGGTGACTCATGCGTGAAGGATTTTGTCCTGTCTCTTTTAAAAGGTTGCATAGCTCACTTTACCGCTTCTATGTGCGTGTCTGTGTGTGTCCATCTGCTTTCATCTGCTCCAAGGTCCCTGCGTCCTTGAGATACAGTTTTACACGAGGTAGAAAGATTTAATTATAATTTAAACAGGATGCATTATTGGGTTGTGAAGCCACGTGTTTCCCTCCAATCAAGGTAGCCGGAAATTATCCCGAGGCTACTAACACACAACAGACACACACACACACACACACACGCGCGCCTCTTCAATCGCCGGACCCGCCGTGGCATTTCCCGCTGCGCCCCCTAGTGTCCCGGCGTCAGAATGCAGGGCCGCTGACAGGAAGATGAGGCGTCGTCCTCTCGTCCATCAGACAACGTGTGAAAAACAGCTTCTCGCGAATCGCTTTACCCCATTTACACCGTCGGTGTACTGTGGCAAACGCTGCACACGCATGACAGAAATGAACCGCTCTGTCATACATATCAGTGAAGGCGATAGAGACACGTTTAAATAAAGAACTCCCTTCATTTGCAGAAAGGAAAGTCTCTTTCTCTGGTTAGCTGGTTAGCTGGCCTGACAAGATGATAAAAATATCCAACCTGCAGATGAACATAGATAAGGAAGTAGAAAAAAGGAAAACTTAAGAAAAGAAGTATTATGAAAATAAATCATCATTACACCAGTCGGGAATGTATTCGGCCTAATTTACCTTCTTTCTCTTTGACTTTCACCTTGTGGATTATTTGCAACCATGAAGGGACACAAGCGAGTGAAGTTATGACATTTTTAGGCAACCAAAACGATTAAAAGAACTCGATGTGTTAATGCGATTGACAGGTGGCTGACAACGCGTTAGCCACCTGTCAATCACAACGCCATCCCTTACATGCACCACAGCACAGCGACACCAGAACCGCATGCAGATGGGTGATCTCCCCTTATGCACACTGAACCATGCGGTTCATGCGTGCAGGTTCAGGTCCCTCTACAGAAATCCGGCTTTAGGCGTGTGTTGCGTGCATTTACCGTGTGTGTGTTGCATGCATTTACCGTGTGTGTGTTGCATGCATTTACCGTGTGTGTTTTGCATGCATTTACCGTGTGTGTTGCATGCATTTACCAGCAGCGGTTCTTCTTGACGGGACTCGTACCCCATCAGATCAGTAATGAGACCTGACGTGCAGCACTTTAAGAGCAGCGGGCAAGAAAAAAGGAGCAGCAGAAGAGACGCTGGACCCTCAACGTGGCAAATTGATACATTTTAGAGGAACGTCTGAGTCGCTCGTCCTCACACACGCTACAGGTGTTCTCCTGAAGTCGTTTTTTTTAGCGTCCTCTGTTTGACTCCTCGCCTTATCTTCCATCTCGCAGGAGTCGTGTTCTGAGTCGACGCGTTCCCTCGCTCCTCGTGCAGCGTGGAGCTCTGTGTACACTTTCTCCAGCGCTTGTTTATTCGTGTGATCTTCTTCAGCGCCTTCAGACTCACATCTGAACTTTTCCCTCACGGATTCTTTGTGCTCTTTGATGGCGTCTCTGAAAACATCCACTGATGCAACGGAAGAGTGAAGTGATGCTTGCTGAAGCAGCCTTTTCAACACTTAAACTTACATTAATGTATTGAAATGGCAACTTCTGTCATTGGGCTGTGTTGCTAAACATGTCAGGGTCAGCGTGTAAAGGGTGAAAATTGCTGTCATGTTTGCACAATTATATTTTTGAGTAAAGTTACCTATCATCATGTTTTTGACCAAAACAACCTCACTTACTTTTGCATTTATTTGGCCGTATTTAACGGAGGATTCTATAAGAAGCTCATCTATTCCCTCACGTCCCTCTGGGGGACATCAGCCCAGTTGTTGTCCAACCAGTCGGCTTCAAAATAATAACAAGTATCCGCGACGAAACCAGCTCACATCGCAGCCGTCAACTCACCCGTTTCCAAGGATTTTTTATAGTTTTAGTAATCATTTATGTTCAAATGTTCAGAACCTTTTCACCACATCCCGGTGTGTCACAGGAGGTTTATAGTAGTATAGTAGCACAAAGAAAGATGCTTTTATCAGTGAGATATTGAAAATTAAAATAAAAGCTTTATTCTGCTCCGCTTTCCTTTTGTTTTAAATAGAAATTTGATATATATTTGTTTTATTTGGGAAAAAGTGAAAGCCATGTTTGCTTGGATTGTATTTTGAATCGTCCCAACTGTGTGTTTACACAATGTTAAAAGATCCACTATACGTTACTGCGTTAACTGTAAGAGCGCCAAATTATGCAGCTCATAGTTTGTGATTTCGCCATTAAGACGCCAGAGGAGCTTCAGACACACACAGCAGCCTTCATGAGATAACGATGGGGCCACATCGGACCCCCGCGCCCCCACGCACACTCAACATAGCTGTCAGCTCTCAAAACGTCAGGGCTGGACGGCCTTTTCTAAAAAAAAAAAATCAAAATTTTGAGCTCGGACAGAAGAGTTGGTCCCCTTTAACGGAGGGGCCTCGGCTCCCTGATGGCCTTCTCTGCACCATCCTCTCTCTTTCCTCCCCCTCTTCTCCCGAGCTCTCCCCCCTGCGCTGTCAGCTCCAATCAGCCATGGCAGTGAGACTGTGTGATTGTGTTTGGGAGGGAAGTCCCGCCCACATCCACGCAGACTGCTGCTGGTGGTTTAATGGCCCCCGATACAGGGGCACCCCCACACCTTAACGCACAGGATGCCCCCCCCCCCCCTCCTCCTCCCCCTCCCCCTCCCGGCCAACAGTCTCAGAGGAAACGGTCGCTGGCGTCGCCATAGAAACATGGACACAGCCCAGCTTGTTGGAGAGAAAGTAATAATGGCAGTAAAACAAATGAAGACAAAACAAAATGAGACTCAATAGTCCTTTAAAGTTGCTTTCATCAAATCAGTCTTGCGGGTATTTTCTTTCCATTGAGCTTTCTCCAGATTTTTTTGGAGTAAAAAAAGCCTGTACCACAAATTAAAAGGGACCCGTCCGGTAGCCAGCCGCCTTTGGACAGCCTGCAGGTGGACAAAGCTGCCAGATCACCACGGTAACCAATGCCGACCCGCTAGGTTCAGGTCTAAAGCTGCCAAAGTTGATCTCAGTAGAGTCCCGGTCCAGGATCGGTTAGACTGCTACGACGGACACTAGATCAAGTCGGGGTCTGACTCGATACTACAAACCCAATCTCACGGGAACAAAAGCCGTGGCCTTCATTTAAAATAATCTCCATTTCTCTGCGTTTTATTGCACCTGCAGAGTTCACAGGCTTGGAGAGTTTCCGGGCCTCTGTAATGAGCAGAGAGGATCCAGCCCGTCTTCTCCGTTCAGACGTCAGACGTCCGCCGCCGCCAGCTGGCAAGGAAACAGCGCTGCGCCGGGGGCGAGGGAGGGAACATCTGGAGAGGGAACCCATACGGTCACACCTTACCTGCTGCTGGTCGGCTCATCAATGGCACTTAAAGTACAAAAAATACTGAATAGTTAAGGGTCACAAATCCTTTATTCACGTGTACATGACTCGAGTGTGACCCGAAGCAGGCGAGTCCAACAGGAGAGAAGCCTTTCTAATTGTAATCAAGCTGCTACATCTTTACTTTATACAAAAACAAAACATACAGTCAACGTTAACGGCTCGGTGAAATATTTCATTATTTATGCATCACTCAAACATTTGGACCTTGAAGTGATAACGCACAATAATACATTCAACTTCATGAGCTGTTTACACTGGTTTCTATAGTAACGCAAGTCATCGCTGGACTTTTCATGAAACAGAAAAATGGGTAAAGGCATAAAAAAAGGCACCACCCCCCGTCCTTTTATTACCAATGAGGAAAATGTTGTTCCATGCAAAAGTCCTGAGGTAGCAGCTCGTCTCTTTGACCAAACGTCGTCCTCAACTAGTCGGGTAGGAAGGCGGTCACGACTTTACTGTACGGTCCGTACCGGCCGAACGCGTCTTTGCCCACCACGGCCACGCAGACCTTGCGCCCGGGCTTGTACTTGCTGAACATCATGCACATGGGCAGAGGTTTGGCCTCCACGTCGGCCCGGATCCACTCCGGGAAGACGTTGCTGTCCTTCACCTTCTCCACGGTCATGAAGACGCTGCCGCGTTGGACAAAGAGAGGAAGCAATGGTGAGCCACTGAATACGACCCCCACCACCCACCCCCCCTTGTGGGTATTGGGTGGAGTCTCAGGCTGAGGTGGAGGCAGAACACCGTACGTACGGCAGGAGATGCTCCCAGGAAGCAGAACGGATTAGATGTGACTGGGAAAACAACGGGATTTCTGCAGGAGAGGAAACGCTGTCGTTGTAAAGCACACTTCTGCCATCTAGTGGTGCTTCAGTTTTCTCCTTGTGTTTACAATTTAAATAAAAGATTTCATAGATTTCAGATTTGACCTCAGGGCCGTGGTGTGGTGCACTCACAAATCCACATGTTGGTTACATCTTTATACAAAGAGGATCGGAAAATGTTGACATTCTACCAACGATGACTGGGCTATTGTTCAAGGTTCAGAAGGGGGATTTTCTCCAGTGGTTCCACCCAGAACCTCTCACCTGTAACTATCCATGGGGGGTCCAAACGGATCTTCATCGTCCACGTTCCAGAGCACCGAGAGGCCAGCGGGGTTCCGGATGAGGGCCAAGTGTACTTGAAGTCTGTGGGGGATGTTGTACGAGGCCGCCTTTATTTTCAGGCTGGAGGGGAAGTTGATCGAGGGGAGAGGGGGGTACAGGAGCTTGTGACCCTTAGGGTCAAAAGAAAAAGAGAGATGCAGTGGAGGTGAATGACCGGAGCAAACTGAAAAAAAAAAAGTGGGTCAGCGGGACCATTACCTTCTCCGAGACCTCAGAGACCTTCTCAGAGACCTTGCACTCGAGACTGCAGCCTTCACGAAGGGGGAGAAATTCCACTTTCACCGAGCTAGCCTTGGGCTCCTCCCCCTGCCCGGGCTCCTCCCCCTGCTCGGGCTCCTCACACTTCAATGGCCTCTCCCCCTGCCCGGGCTCCTCCCGCTGATCGGGCTCCTCACACTTCAATGGCCCCTCCCCCTGCCCGGGCTCCTCCCCCTGCCCGGGATCCTCCTCCTGTCTGGGCTCCTCACACTTCAATGGCCCCTCGACCTGCCCGGGCTCCTCACACTTCAATGGCCCCTCCCCCTGCCCGGGCTCCTCACACTTCAATGGCCCCTCCCCCTGCTCGGGCTCCTCCCCCTGCTCGGGCTCCTCCCCCTGCTTGGGCTCTTCACACTTCAATGGCTCCTCCTGCTTGGTCTCAACACTCTGGATTTCATGTTTAATTCCTGACTCTTTCGTTACGGCCATGACATTTTCCTGCATAACAGAACACGGACAGTAGATGAAGGCGCAACACAAAATACATTTTAAAAAAAGCAATGGAATCAACTGCAAATTGTCATTGGCTACTGAAGTTCTGACAAGGATACCGATGAATAATGCAAACACCCTACCTTACAGTTAGGGGAACCATAAGGGCTAAGAACCGGAGGAGGCTGCTCCTCACTTGAATCTGCCACGGCACCCTTCAAGGCTTAACGGGGATTATGTGCATGACAAGCAACAGAAGAAATGACGGGGAAGAGGAGGAAAAGGATGCGGTTATTAATTCACGTACGCACTGACTCATACTATTTAATTTGGGTCATTATAACAGCTTATGGTGTCAGTTTCTCTCAGTGAAAGGTAACATGTCACCACAAGCAGCATTATAGTTTCAAAGATCATGTATACATATTTATTTATATTTTTTATTTGTTACCTTCATTATCAACCTGCATCTTATTTAGGGCCTTTTTTGTGTTTTCCTGGATAGAAAAGATGGATCAAGTTAACCTCAATGTTTAAATCCATTTCTAATGAACTCAAAACAACGCAAGCCGCAACTTTAATAGCCAAATAAATAAAGCTGGCAAAGAAAAGAAATCCTCAACTGTGCTAAATAACTATTGTTCAAATTAAAAAAAATACAGGTTTTTCAGGATGTATTAAACGGATTATTCCAGGATAAATAACCGCATATTCACCATTATTTGAAAGAGCTTTCTGCACTTGCTCTTCTCGCTGGCTGAAAAACAAAAACATAGATGATGAATACTCATACGACCCTCAAATGCTCTTCAGCGCACGCGCGCACGCCGCCGGGCTCTTACGCTGTGGCGTCACTTCCATGGCTTCATCCTCGGAGTCGGCCCTGGAGAGTCGGACATCAAAGTCAGAACGCAGATCAAAAACAAAAAGGTAATCGTTCCCACCGGCGCCGTCTGAACCCGGATCTACAGACCTGTTGGTCTGGATCTTAACCAGAGATGGCAATGGGCTCTGAAAAAATATATATATATATTTTAACACATTAACTGCATTTATATATCACCTGCATCTTGTGTATGTGCGCTCGTCTGCATCAAACCTTTGTCTGTTCCTTTGTCATGAAGGCGATGGCTGCTTCGGCTTTCCTGGTTAACCTGCTAATTCGAGCCTGAGGAAGAGAGGAACATTCTGTAAAGATCTGTTGGGTTAAAGATACTCTTCATCATCAATTTGGGATCGAGACGTGCAGACAATTTATTGGTGTTTGGTTGGTTCGCGTGTCAAAAACATGGACACGAGGGAAAGCATCCGTGTCCAGGACAAGACAAGCGACGCATTTCAGAAGCAGCTCATGAAGACAAAAAGAGGGAAAAGAACAAAAATAACAACAATGATAAATGTGCCAGATGTAAACATGGAAGAGAAAGTGAATTAAAAGTATTAATCCCCCACTACCAAACTCTGGCCAACCCAAACCCCATAACGGTGTTCATTTGTGTGCAGCATCAGCTTAACACGCGCTCCACCTCCAGCTGCTGGATGGAGCTCTCGTAGTCCTCGGCGCAATCCAGCTGTTGAATAGTTTCTATTAAGCCCTTCAGGTTGCTTTCTCTCCCCTGCACTGCCGCGCGAACCTCCTGCTCAATCAGCGTCTGCACCTGTGGTCACACAAACACCATCATTTAAACACACACACACACACACACAGAGCTGCATCCACTAACAGCAGATTAAAGTTGGATCCAATACGTGCATTAGCTAATTTAACCATGCACAGAAAACGTATCAATCTGATACAAAAATACGGTCTCTTACTTCCAATTGGGAACATTTCATCTTCTTATTGGCGGCGCTGGAGGAAGCGGCCGCCGGGTTCATCCTGCGAGCAGACGTACAGAATGTCAAAGCTCACGAGCAAGAGGAAAGCTTGGATCTTCAAAAACACCCAACGGGGGGGAAAGAAGCCAGCGCGGTGCCTGGCGAGTCCCGACTGAAGGTTCGGGCCTCCCTCCAGAGCCACGCCCCCCTCCTCCGGGGCAGGTAGGCCGGCCCATCACCACATTCAGGGGACCGACGTAACCAGGGAGGGAACAGCGTGATGCGGTAAGACACGGGACGCTGTTGGAGGTTAACTCACATGTCCAGCAGGGCCCGGGCCATCTCTGCGTCTGATCTGTACCCATTCGCCGCTTTAACCTTACGCCACCTTCTGATGGCCGACCCGACCACCACACGACACCTCCTTTCGCCGACCGTGGAAGGCGTCTTTCGCTTCTTTTTTGGGCGCGTGGAATCTGCCATATTCTACTACACACACACACACACACAGACAGGGGAAGGGAGGGTGGAAGGTAAAGGTTACAGGTGGGGGGGGGGTGCAGATATTCTACAATTATGTGGCTCACAATTGCAAATAAACATTTTGTACCATCCTGCTCTTTGCACGTCAGGGTCAATTACAGACACTTGATACGCGGGTTTAGCACAAGACAATGTTAGAACATTTTACCACGAGCCAAGCCGCGAGAGAGCTAACGTTAACTATTATTTAACTAATAATAAACCACTAAGTTACACTTTTATTAAAGTTGTACTCGCTGGTGACGTTATGTGACGAGGATTGGACAACGATTCGGATTTAACTCGGTGACTAAATAAATCGTATTTCAGCGTAAAATGCCGCTAACATTCAGTAGTTACGCGCAGAATATATAAAGTTCAACGAGGTTACCGATTTTAAATGCGGTGCCCGATGAAACGCGTTCGCTTTACCTGCTCGAGCTTTCCGGTTCACTTCCGCCATACGACTTCCGGTCCCGTCTCATCAAAATAAAAGCGCCATCTTCACAAAAGTGTTGAAGTTAAGTCTTTTGAAAGTAAATGCTACCCTAAAACTAAACAAATTGATGTCAATAATGTTCCTGACAGGTACTTTTATTTTATTTTTCCTTTGTCAAATTCAAATAGTCTATTTTCAAGTGTATGTATATATTTTTCATAACAGATTACTTTTAACAGCATTTCAAAACGGCTGTGATAAAAAATATAAACAGAAAATCAAGGGGACGTCAAGGGTGACCTAATAAATAGTCAAATTCCTCTTTACTGTGAGACTATTCCTTCTTTCATTTATGTTTTCATCCAAAGTTGTAGCAAGTAGAAATTTCGAGCTGTGCAGGAAAAGAGCAAAATATCCATTTCTGAGCAAGCGTAGATGGGAAATTGCAAGCATGCCCCATGTGAAATCAGTATGAGCGCAGACAGCACTTGACTCAATGACAGATACATTCATTGTAAAAGACATTTATTGAAATCTATGTCGAGGATCAACAGGATTTAACAGGGGGGGAAGCACCTTGATCTTTTCGCAGATAAGTCTTTGCTCCTGAATTTTGACCAGTCTGTTGTTCTGAGATTAGAGCAGCAGGATTCAGCAGCAGAATCAAATTTATTCTTTTTCAGGAGTAATTGACAGGAGCTTGTAGCAGTCTAATCTGGAACCCCGAATCATAAAGTGTCACCTAAAAATTGATCCACTGGGCGTCAATAACCGACCAACTTTTAATTTGATGTCTTGTGAATACATGAGTAGGACTTTACAGATTAAAGCAGCAGCCACTGATGTTACAAAAGGTGTCAACACTAACTGCATATTTTCATATAATTATCCTGAAATAATAAAAGCAAAAAGGGCCTGAAACACACTCACATCTAACCAATATCAAAACAAACTCAAACTTTTGGATGAATTTTGTGCAACAAGAAAATGTAATTTATGTAATGTAACAACATTGTCTCTGTTAAAAAGCAACATGATTCTCCATAAATGTCAAATTAATACTTTAGCAAGCATTAGAAACGTTTAAAAAACAAAAAAAGGATTCCCCATGAACAGGTCACATGCCCATTTGTCACCATGGTTACTTGTGTAGATCTCCATTGACTACGCTACACTAAATCTACATTGATAAAACTACAAAAGAATTGATCACACTCCTAAAACAAAACATTTTAATTTAAGAAAGGCTCAGATAACTCCTGCAGGTGGTCGCTGTGGTTTCTGCTCAACAGGATTCGAACTATTCTAAATTTAGGTCAGTTTTATGTATAATTACCGAAGGTAAACTAAATCGATACAAACTTTAAATGACATCTAATAAACCTAATTTCACCCAAAACAAAAAAGATTCTTTCCAGCCTATTTTCCTGCATCGACTTTTCATCTCAAACTAGGTTAAAGAGGCTTATTAATTATGAAACACTCTTCAAGATGAAAACTTGGAACATCATTATCTCGGCCTCCAAAAGGTTCCTTTGATCATTTTCAAGTGTCATCTTGAGAGCAAAATCTTCCCCTACAGCTCCACAAAGGCTAAAATCAGAAGGTATGTTACAAATACACATTTATTGTTGTTGAATGCCAGACGTGTGCATAGGGAGAAGTTTCCGTGATGGACCAAATCAACAGAAGAACGGCCAGAGGGAAGAAATACGCCGACACTTATTGACTTACGTCCCGAGGCTAAAATACACAACAGTGGTTTTAATGATAAATAACGTTTGTCTTTTTTCAGTGGAGATGAGAACAGAATTTTTTTTTTTTCCTGAAGTTCATTTTATGTTTTAGGTTTGCATGTTGTTACGATGTCATTTGAAACCCAGAAACAATCACAGCACATTATTGGTTCTTTTTTCACCGTTAAACACAAACAACGAGTAAAGACCTACGCGTCCTGTGTGCTGCGGTTGACAGAAGATGACCTCTTTTTCTTCCTTCCGTTCGTCTGGTATTTCAGTCTTACAAATGATCTATTTTGGAAATCACCTGAACTTCACATACACATCAAATATGTACAAAATAAATTCCGTTGACTGTCGATTCACAGAGAAAGTACGGACCGCTTGGGGGGGGGGTCCCAGTGAGACAAATCTCACCACCTGTCTTTTATCCGCCGTGATTTCACCTATTTTCAGACAGGCACCTGTGAATGGAGTTGCTAGGAACCAGGACACAAGGAAACGTGTGGAGGAGACACATCGGCATGTTGGTACTTTGGTCCCGTGTTCTCACTAAGTGCGGCGAGGAGCCTCGGGGGGCTGTTTTCTATGCGATGTGTGAACGCAGCGAATTCCTTCATGCTTTTGAGTGTGTGAGCTGGACAAGAATGTGATGCTGAACGCTTTCAGCATCACATTCTTTGCTTGGACTCTAAAGGGATGCGGGAGCGGCCCTTTTCTCGTACGTTTATTATGAATCTACGTGACGCAGAGCGCGCGTCCGTGTTAGAGGAGGGAACGTGGATGTCTTCGTGCATGTTGTCCAAGTTTGTGTGGGGGGGGGGTTTGTTGCGTGTATCTGTGTGCGTGTCTGTGCGCCGAGCCCGTGGCGTCTATTTGCGCTTCCTGAGCACCAGGTACATGAGGCCGCTGACGAGCGTCATGGGGAAGCTGACCCAGGCCAGGATGTAGGAGGAGCCGAAGGAGCCCACCTGCAGATCCTGCTTGTGGAAGCTCTTGTTCTGAGCCGTGTAGACGGACGCCGCGATCATCACGCACACAGCTGTGAGGAAGAGGAGGATGGGAATTACACCGGATAGCTGAGGAAGGAAGTGCAATTCTAACTCAGCGGCCGGTTAGCTTAGCACAAGGCACTGCTGTCATTTCTTCAAACGCAGAATGATTATTTCAATAAAACAGCAATTCTTTAAAAGTTGTCGATGTCGCTGAAGTGAACAATACGTTTAAGTCTTTTTATCAGTCGGCGACTTTCCTCTCGGTCAAAAAGCTGGATATGTTCTGCTATTTTTTTGTGCAAAGTTTAAAAAATTGACTTTTTCACCCAAAACCCTGATCTAAAAACAAGTACGCTGCATTTCAAAGAAAAGACCCATGTGCACATTTCACATTCAGGGTTATCCAACCTCACGTGTAACCGGTCATGAATCTTACCACAACAAACACATCGCACTGGAAACCCCCGTCTCAAAAGCGCCACCTAAACCCCCGCGTGTGTGTGCGTTTTGTGTGTGTGTGCGTGTGTGTGTGTGTTTTGTGCGTTACTCACAGGCCAGCAGCTGGATGACAGCAGTGAAAACGAATCGGTCTCCCTGTTGGAGCCTGAAGAGCTGGAGGATGAAGATGAAGAAGCTGACGCAGCATAAGATGGTGGCCAGAATCATAGTCGCCTGGACGGTCTGCAGGTAGGCTGAGGGGGGGGGGGGCAGGAGGCGGGACAGGGGGGGGCGTCACGTACACGGAGGCAGTACTGACAGGGACACGTGCTGCGGGGCCCCATTTCCCCTGTTTGGGCGGTGGGGCTGTTCTCCAGGGGGACGCAGGGGGAGTTCCAGGAGTACCACAGGTCGGCGTAGATGACGGCGAGGTCGCCGCCCGGCGACACCACCCACCACGCCTACAGCCGGGGGGGGGGGGGGGGCAAGCACAGCGAGGCGGTTAAAATGAGTCGCCATGCAGGGGGGGGGGGCGGAGGTCTCTGGGCTCGTACTCACGTTGTGAACGGTCGCGACGAAGAGGAGGACGGCCGCCGCCGCGTGGAAGAGGAGGATGAAGGCTAAGATGATCAACATGGCGCCGCTTCAGTTAGACGTCTCGGGCTGCTTCGGCGGAACGACGGTCCGTGGTTCTCTGCTGGTTTGGGGTGGAGGGGGGGGGCCCGCGGGGGCTCAGCTCCTCCACATGAAAAGGGTTGTGGGGGGGAGACAACATATATGCAACACGTTACCGACCCGCACCAACCCGAGGAAGTCAGAGACAGGTGTGTGTGTGTGTGTGTGTGTGTGTGTGTGCGTGCGCCGGCCTACGATCAACTACTGAGATTCTATTTTCAAACTATGTTCCTCTTTCCATCAGAATATCCAGTATTTGTTGGTTCTTTTGTGCCCCTTCTGTTTTTCGCCCCCCCAACAAATGAATGATGATGAATGAATATGGGGGAAACAAATCCAATAAAACACACACACACACACACACACACACACACACACACACACACCAGAAGCCTTTTAGTTTGTTTGTCGGGGAAAAGGTTTGCTCTGCATTTAAGATGCTTCGTTCAACGTTCAGAATCACACAAAAGGAGATTCAGAAGGACGGCGTGTGTTTATTCCCCACAGAAAGTTTCCAGCTTTACGAGTTCAGATAAACACAGAACGCACAAACTGCCTCGCCGGCCTGCGGGAACGACGCACATCGGATTACATGAGACACACACACACACACACCAGAGGAATTAGTCCTCCCCGCCAAGATGGAGTCGCAGTAAAAACAGCCTTTCCTCGCTGACAGGAAGCAGGCCAGTGTGTGTGTGTGTGTGTGTGTGTGCTACATGTCTGAGTTGGGAGAGGATTGAGTTCTGAATGCAAGTTATTTTAGAAGAGAATAAGAAGCAACACAAACTTAAATGTGGACTCACAACCAGGACGCGTGAGGTGAGAAATCTGCATTTGATGTGGATGAAACATTACAGTCACTCAGCTGACGCTTTCATCCCCAGCGACTTACGATAAGTGCAGAGCGGAGCGAGCGCGGGTCGGGATGTCGGGTTTGATCGTGTCCTGGATGTAAGCTGGACCCGGTCCATTCACAGCGTGGTACCAGCACCAGTGTTCTGAACTGGACGCGGGCAGCTACTGGTAACCAGTGAGGAGAGCGGAGGAGAACTTAGGAAGGTGTTATGTTTTAACAATGTGCCTAGTGGATTGGGCCAGATGTTTCTTTGTTTATTTAAAGTGTAATTTTATTTCATATCACATGATTTCATCACACAACTGAAAGTGTGTACTTGGCATTAAATGGTCTTGATTTTTAAGAATCGGCGAACAGCTTGAAGGAGGTCTGACCTTTGGAGCGATTCCCAGACAACATGCCCATTACAACACGTCATGATCACTTTGTCTGGGGGGGGTCACACTGAGATGGAAAGCATGATGCTCAGAAGAAGAAAAGAGGTAAAGAGCAACTATTCAATTTACAACTTCCGCTGCAGCTTCTCTCCGGTATTTGAGTCCACACACACACACACACACACACACACAGCTGGATCTGATTCCATCTGCAGCTGTTTTCTCGTCTCAGTGGGGAGAAGATAAGGGGAGGGGCCAGGAAGGGGGGGAGGAGACAGCAGGAGGAAGAAGGGAACCCCATTGGAGGAGAAGTGGAGGGAAAAACCAGAACGGAAACACGCATGAGCTCAAAACACGCCTCGATGTGTGTACACACACGCACACACACACACACACACACACACACGGTGAGTAGTAGAAGTCAGCTAATCTGACATAAAACAAGCTGGGGGGTCTCCGAGTGGAGACGAGATATAAAACCTGAATGTTTTCTCCTCCATCTCCACGTATCCCTCACTGAAGGGACCTGCAGCACTGTGTTTTCATCTGCTTAACAAGGATGAAAGAGACACCAGAACCTTTACGGGGACGTTGCTTCATCAATGCTTCCTGTCGCCGTCACATCGCTTCATTGATAAAAACAAGTTGACGAAAAGCGTGACGGTGCTGCAGCTCCACAATCGATCCTGTCAGACTCCACACACACACACACGCACACACACACACGGCCATTCCTCCTCTCCACTCAGCCTCATAATGGGAGGCTGGGGGACTCGCTGCTAGTGTGTGTGTGTGTGTTCTGACTGGTTCCCTTGCCTGGTGGAAAATGCTGACTTTTAATGTCCTTTTCTTTTTCATAAAACACAAAGCCACAGACTTAACTGGGCCTCTGAATCTCACTCCCCCCGTCTCCCTCACTGTCCCACTGTCTGTCTGTCTGCCTGTCTGTCTTTAGATGGAAAAACTGCTGGGGAAGGAGAAAAGGCGAGGAGGCCTCCACCGGAGCCCTGTGGCCCCTCAAGAGGAGGTCGCCCAGTTGAGACTCGATGTGCAACGTTTCCTCTCTCTCCCGGCGGATTCTCAGTCTCCAGAGGATCACTCCTCACGAGCCCCTCGCAGAATGTGCAACAACGCAGCCGTGACAACCAATGCAACATCGCACACCGACGCCACTCTTTGTACCATGTCGATAATCTGCGTTAGCAACGACTTGCACTGAGGGCGCAGAAACACACTCGTCCCCTTTCACGCGGATCGCCGGCACCGCAGCTTTTAGGCGCGCTGTGTGCCGACGCCGTGCCAACCAAAACACACGCGCCATCCGCTAATGATGGCGGCGAGGTGCGGCCTCAAGCTCTCAAAGCCACTTTACAGGTCAACGAGGAAGCCAGAGAGCAAGCAGACATTTTTTGGGGTTGCAAACACAGGACACTTTATTACAATAAAGCGAATACGGGGACATTTGTCCTCTGCGTGTGTGAGCCATTCGGCTTGGGGGTCCCCAGAGGATAAACCATTGTGGCTGCGAGCCAATAGAGGGCTGGGCCTCATCTTCTCCAGCGTTATGCTAAGCTACGAGCTCTTGTGACTGTAATTCACGAGCTGCTATGCTAACAGTTAGCATGTGATGGTTGGCTGGGGGTGTTAACCAAACATCAGGGGGTCCGTCGCCTTGATCCGTTCTTCCTCGCATTCTTCTGGCCAAACTCTAAATACGTCACGGTGGGGTCGGCCTCGCTTAGAAGGTGTATTGGAAACTAAAATTAAGCGTTTTGGAAAATTGATTATGCGCAAACAACACACGACGCATTGACAGTGCAAATGGACAAGAACCCTGCAGCTCCAAACTGAGTTATTTGATAATGGTCATGTGACTGTTTGATTGCGGACAACGCGGGTCTGATAAGGTGACATCTTATAACTCCTAATCAAGAAGTCCCTCCGAATGATTCAAATCAAGTTATAAAGTAAAGTAAATATTGGAACCATACAAGGAGCGATGGGAGGAAACGGAAATCACACACTTTACCAATTGACAAACGAGCACACAGCTGGTTTAAACTTTAAAGACCTCCCTTTGATGCAGGAATCCTTCAATGTTAACGGTTTGTTAGGTGTGTGTGTGTGTGTGTGTGTGTGTGTTCACATGCACGCACATTCCTAAAGTGGCAGCACCGAGTAACGTCTCCCACATGGCCGAGAGAAGCTGACACCAACTGGTAAAAAAGAGCCCCCCTCCTCCCCCAATTCCCTTTTTATTCGACTCGCAGTCACTTCACTTGTCGTTGCCGCTTTCAGCCACAAGAGGGCGCCCCCCATGGCAGGTAATCACCTGCCTCAGCAGAAGGACGACGCGAATCCACGGCGCAATAACGCACCTCGGGAGCACATTTTAATACGGTGACCATTTGATTGTGTCCAGTCCAATGACGTGTAAACCCCGAATACAACCCTGACCTGTTAAAACACACAGATTGCACGTGTAAAAGGCTCAATGCCCACGCGCATAGTGGCGTGTGTTATCACATGAGCTCGTGGAGAGGAAAGTTAGAGGTCTATTGAACCGCATCTGGCACATTTAAAGTCCCTATGAGACACACGCGCACATTTCCTGTTCCCATCGGCTCGAAAAGCTGTTTATCTTCCCTCCAAACACACACACACCGTTCCTTCAGACAGACGCGCGCGCACACACGCACACACACACACACACACACACACACACACACACACTTATGCGTTTAAAAAAAAAACTAATAGCTAATCATTTTTAAATAACCCGCAAGTATCGAAACAGCGCAGAGTGATTGCGCCAGCAGCGCAGGACACAGCGGGGCTGAAACCAATAGTGACGGATATTAATAAAGAGCCGCGTTGAGGCCCCGCGGGGCGACCGGGACGCGAGGCGGAGAGACGGTTCCGTGCAGCATTCAAACTAAACGCAACGTGGAAAAGGCGCGTCTACTCACCCGGCTCTGTGCGGAGCTCCAGATGTGGCGCAGTGTGCGTGGAGAGTAAAAGCAACGCGAGGGGGGCAATAAATAGGAGGAAAGCCGCCGCAGCGCGAGCAGCCTGCGCCAAAAAGTTCTCCTTCTGTGCGCACGTTCTGCGTGAGCGCGCGAGGGAGGGAGGCAGGGCGAGAGGGAGGGAGGGAGGGAGGGAGGGACGGAGGGCTGGGTGTGGTTACGGGGGTTGAACGTGCCCGGAGACGCGTGTGCGTGCGTGTGCGCGCGTGCCACACGGACGCACTGGTGACAGGAGGACAAAAGGAAAAGCTGGCGGACAGAGAGGGAAGTTCAGAAGTCTGTTAAGGGAAAACAAACCACAGAGGTCGGACGAAAGGAAATGAAGAGGATGAAAGTGGATGAAGAACCCTGGAGGGTTGGAGAGAATGGAGAAGGGAAAGGGAACTATTTGGCACACTGGGGTCCTGATTGCGTAAACAAGCTGTGGTCCCTTTCTCCACATCTTTATTGGCTCTACAGATCTGAGACCATCTCATTTCCCTGTATTTGTGTAACCCTTGACCCCTCCAGTGTGTTTACGCATCACCCCAGAATGTGTTTATCATCAGCACTGGGAGGTCGTGACGATTCCGAGCTCATACAGTTTAGCTTCCTGTTGGCCATCACTGCTCGTTGGAATAAAAACTGCTGCCCCCGGATGTGGACCATCACCTTACCCGACTCAAAAATGGGTTCTGTGACTCTTTTGTTTCGTGACTCTTTTGTTTCGTGACTCTTTCAGGCCTGACCTCTGACCTTTTCCTGGTGCCGTCCTCACCCACGTCTGTACCCATGGAGGAGACGATTGATACCGCTCTCATGTGTGTCGGGGAAACAGTCCCCGGTTAGCTTAGCTTAGCAGGAAGACAAGAAAACAAGGGGGAAAAACAATCCGTATTCATTTCCAGCTGAAGGCGGGAGAGGCCCGTGTGCCACCGCGCACTCTAAAGTGCAACCGTCCCATCCTGGACCTGCCAGAAAAGATCTGCCGCGATCCGATTCAGGACGTCAGCTCTTCTGTTGGTCACCTGTCCTCGGTGGTCCGATGCGCGAGGGAGACCGGACCATTGTGTCGGGTCACAAGGAGCCGGTTAGTGAGGACACGCACAAGGTCATGGAGGAGGCTTTGTCAAGGGCCGGTGTGCAGCGCATCATCCTTTGCCACGAGGCGGGACTCATCATCCCATCGCTGCAGGAGTCAATGAGCCAGTTGACCCGTCACGGTGCTCACACACACACACTCACAGGACGTACAATGTGATGCTGTTTGTGCGTTGAGCTGATGATTACTCATTGTAAGGCTTCGTACAATGGACCCCCTCTCCCTCTCCCTCTCCCTCTCCCTCCCCCTCCCCCTCATCAGATTCCTTGTAAACAGACAAGCACACACACACAAACACAACCACACTTTTCTGTCTCGCTTGATAATGATGTGCAAACGTTCCTGTTTTTGTTGTTCATATATGACATGTATTGCACTTTCTTCCTTTTTGGAGTACTTCCTGTCCCGGTGAGAGGGACAAAGCCCTCTGATGCAAATTAGTTATTTGGGGCTGAACAAAGTAAATCAACATGAATCGAATCGAATGCAAGTAGATGTGTCATCACCCGTTGGTGCCTTTTTGTCATCGTTGGCCATCACTTGTGTGTCTCCTTTCTGCGGCGCTTGTTGTTCTTTTCAACATCGCATCCTTGCACGCACACACACACACACACACACACACACACACACACACACAGGCCCTCAGCTTTCGCCTGTTTAAACAACAAAGCAATCCCATCATCCTCAGCTCCTTGAGCGACTGACCCGGCGCACCTCGGCTGTCACACACACACACACACACACATACACACACACACACACACACAGGGGGAAAGAGGCTTAGTCTCACTGCCAGGTGTCAGGTGTCAGGGGGCTATTGGACAAAAGTAGAATAAAGAAATCCAGGATGAGTGATAAAGCACCGCTTGACTTGGTGTGATACTTTCTTGAGTGAACCACGGTGTCGATCGCAGATTTACTGATGCGGAAACGGAGAAAACGCCGGACGCAGCACGTTTTTAACCCGCTGAGCGGCAACTAATTATGGAAAATGAGGAAGCGAAGCATAAAATATGCCAAAAAGGGAGTACGGCAGCTGTAAATACACAGTGAGAAAAAGCCTGGCAGACAATCGCGGACCGACTGAATGCAAAAGGATTTAAAAATATCTACTTACAGTTGTAGACTGTTTTAATTGCTTTTGATATGTTTTTTTTATGTGTTGGTTTTATTGCTGTATCTGTGTGTATCTGTGTGTATCTGGCAGGTCTTCCCGCTGCTGCCATTCGGCCTCTGCAGCTCATCCAGAACGCAGCAGCTCGAAGAAGAAGTACAGATACTGGGGTTTAAAACGACTCCTGTAGACGTTGAAGCACCAACTCAAGCTTTTTACTTTAGTAAAAGTATAAAAGTGCTGGTTTCAAAACTACTTAAAGTATAAAAGTAAAAGTAATGTAAGACAAACTCTTAATGCGTAACTTCGCTCACACAACACGTCAGTCCGTCACAATGTGATCAGAAGGAGCCTGCAGATCACGTGACCTGCCGTTGGGATGGTGAAAACAACAACAACAACAAATGTATCTGACGTAAACAGATAAAACCACAACCCATGTTCCACACACACGTTGTTTGCATTCATGAGGTAGACTGCAGCGTCTCCCCCAGGTTCACTACGTCATGTGGGGGGGGCGCCGCTGTTTATAATTCCACTGAACTGCCTTTTCTTTGGCAGGTTGAATTTCTTCAGCTGCCTCAGGAAGAAAAGCCCCTGCTGAGCCGTCTTGGTGATGGAGCCCAGATGCAAATACAAATACATTTCAAGGGAAACTCATTCATATATTCAATTCTAAATTGTCTTATTTGAGGAAATTGCACTTTCTTGTTTCCTGTTCTCCTGAGTTTGTACCCCTATGGTTGAATGCACTTATTGTAAGTCGCTTTGGATAAAGGCGTCTGCTAAATGACATGTAATGTAATGTATTTGTTTTGGCTTGTTTTTCTCGTACCACAAACATGTTCCAACCTAATAAAACACTTTTAGTGTTTTATTTCAATATACAGTGTTAAGCACCGTCTTCAAACTGTTTAAAACTTCCAGGCCGGGACAAGATCACCGCCCTGTAGTTTGAAAAGCGCTTTTCTTTCTTTCTCGGCCACTCAAAGCACGTTTACACTGCATTTTACAGTGTAATTCACAAAGCAGACTAACAAAGTACAGGGGAAAGGTGATTAGTGCGGGGCAAACAATCAATGAAAAGGGGGGGAAAAAACATGACGCCTAGCGTTAACTTTCAAAATAATACACAGATAAACACAATACAAACACTGGAGACCATTAAGATTCATTAAGTTTCATTCACCTACCAAAATACAGGTTACTTCTCTTTTGCTCCTTCAGAATAAAGCTCTGCGAGGGTTTCCTGTGTGACCATCGGAGTGCTCTGCTCGTCCTTTACTTCTACTCCCTGGATGCACGACAAACACACACACACACACACACAGAAAAAACACACACAAGAGTGATCTACAGCCAGACAGGAAGCCGCCCCCCCCTCCTCTGTTTCCAGTTTCCAGCATGGATGGATGTGTGTGTGTGTGTGTGTGTGTGTGTGTGTGTGTGTGTGTGTGTGTGTGTGTCCATGCTCGCTCTGTGCAGGCAATCGGCTGGAGGCAGACTGAGCGACGCTGGAAGAGAATGACACACACACAGGAGAAGATAGTGGAGGTTAGAAGCAATATTACGGGAGGAGAAAAAACATGCGCAAAATAGTTTACAGGGCACGAAGGAATAGAACAAAAAGAAGAGGTGAAGGACGTGGTCGTGGGACAATGGCGGCGACCTGACGCTTTTATGCAGCTCTAATATGAGACAAACATTTTCCACCTGTTTACACGAGCGCTTTAAGTTGTAACGCAGCTGTTACGGGTGCTCTCTCTCCCTCTCCCTCTGTCTCTGTAGCTCGGCATCCTGACTGGAACTACCAGGTGAAACCTCTTACCAAGCGGCCCTGGAAGCCACCAGCTGATTGGAGCAAAAGGGGAATGAAAGGCCGTGGAAGCCAGGATGAGCCGGATGAGCTGGGAGTAGCTGGAGGCGTGCAACTTGCAGAGTGTGTTCGAGTGTCTGCGTTTGCCGGGTTGTGCTGGTACTTGTTTGTGGTGGCGTTTTTGTTTCTGCTGTTGGACAGTATGATTTTGAGTTTGAACCTGATGTGGATGTTTATTTATTATGAAATAAATCCCTCTTTTGGTTAAAAATTCCTTCTTTTATAGTTTATTTTCCATTTGTTACTCCCCGACTCCCCTAGACATCCGTCGAGGGACATAACAGCAACCGAACCTCGACGAAAGTTGCGTCCTATTGTCGACAAACTGCTCCTGTCTGCTGTTGTTGTTGTTGTTGTCAGACAGCTGCAGCTGGTTTTACGGGGGATCGTAAACGCGCTGAGACGTGCCTCCTCACTCCTCCCTCCTCCCTCCTCCCGCTGGTACGAGGTTTCCTCCCAGAGCTTCAACGTGTGGTTTTACCTGCACGTGAAAACTGCGTAGAAGTATTTTCAGATGCATCAGCGGAACAGGGAGAAGCCTCGGCCTCGTGGGCTTTATTCTGAACCAGGATGAGCAGAAGAAATGACCCCATGTGAGACGTTTGCAAGGCGCAAACCCAAAGAAGTAGCAGCTGCACCCCCCCAACACCACCACCCCACCACCTCCTGCTCCGGACTGTGTGTGTGTAACCAGACTTGTGTAGTAAAGATGAAAGCTCGGCACACAGTCGTCCAAACAGAGGCTACTTTCCATTGCATTTGCATCCTCAGATTTTCATTGATTTGCTTAAGGACCCGGCGGCAGCCGAGCACGCGGGACACACAAACGGCAAACTTTTTCATTGTTCCTGTTTTATGATCAGGTATATCAAGAATCAAACCGGTTCTGTGAAATAAATGATTTTATTCGTTATATTCCATTAGACGTGTTGGTGTCCTTTGAGGACTAAATAGATTGGCTGAAAATATTATTATTATTTTCTCTGCCGAATGCCGAGGGAAACGCTTCTATCTCAGTCTGTGTCACCGGGAACAGGCTGATGGATAACCTTCCCTCCTTCCTTCACATAAATACACACAACATGGCCTCCCCTTCACAAAGATCATCAAACACACACACACACACAGACACAGGCAGAGAGATAGCGATAACGCCGGTTATTCTGGGGTTATTCTGCTCAGTCGAGTCGGGACAGCTGAGTCTGCCCAATGCCCCTCTCTGATGACCTCTGACCCCTTCAGGCGGCGTGTTTGTTCACACGCAGGCCCTCTTGGCTTCGGGCCCTGCGATGGAGGAGGGTCGAAGGGTTTTTGGCGAGCCGACGACAAGCAATCGAAATATTAAGTTACCTTTATATAGAAGATTTTGTCCCGACGTAACCGTGGCAGCTGGGTCAGTTTCGGAAGTTTTGGGAAATGGAGGCATGGCGCCTGCAGCCTGACCAGAATAACGGCAAGAAATATCTGAATTCCCTGTGGATGGCATTGGTGTGCACATCTCCTAGTTCCTCTGAAAGGAGCCTCCTGTGAGTGCCTGATGGTCCGTGTGCATCACAAGGAGTCCGTCTCTTGTCTCTGAAGAACGAGCAATAAGGCAAACAGTCACTTTGCATTGGACAAAGTGCAGCAAACACCTCGATCCTGTTCCTCACATGAAACGGGACCTTTCAAAGTCCCTCTCAAAGCAGGTGAGACTGCTCTTCATTTACTCCAACGTCTCCGCCACACACACACACACACACTCTGTGTCGGTTAAAACAGTCTCCGGGAGGGGATCGCCCGACATGGCAGCTGAGAATTTCACAAGAGCGGGAGGAAATAGAGAAATGGAAGCGAGTGGGGGAGGATCAGAGGCAGGAGAGCGATGGAGGAAGGATCCCAAACCGCACACAAAGTGGTCGTTAAGAGAACCGAACCCGGTACATTCTGCCATTCGGCTTCTGAGACTCTGTAACCACGAGGCCACCCGGACTCCCTGGCTCATTTCATTGAGGCCGCTGTTCTGGCCCAGCAGGGGGGGACGTGAACCAGCACGTGCGGTGCGCAGCAGCAGGAGTGCAGATGCAGCGAATGAGGGGCTCCCTGTGGCTCCTGTTCAGCTGTCACAGATACCTAATTACACGCGTAGCGTGGAGACAATATTCCGTATCAGCGGACACAATACAAACTGCCGTTGTTTCCTTTGGTGCTTGTGGAACCGCTTCGGGTCACGCCCGTCTCTTTTTTCCATTAACGACTCACTTCCTGTTTCCCCCTCCGTTGTGCGTGATGTCTCTACTCACACGCTATCGCCAGAACACACACAAAACCTCCTCTGTTAATCCTCGTAAAAAAAAAGTTGGAGCTAGGCTGCATGGCGTGTGTGTGTGTGTGTGTGTGTGTGTGTGTGTGTGTGTGTGTGTGTATGTGGCATTGTTCCCAGTGTGATGACTGCTTGTCCAGCCAAGGCTTAACTTTTGTGCTGAGTAACTCTGTGACCCAAGTCTGACCCGAGTCTATTAGTGTGTGTGTGTGTGTGTGTGTGTGTGTGTGTGTGTGTGTGTGTGTGTGTGTGTGTGTGTGAGAGAGAATGAAAAACTCACAAAATGTTTGCACTAATAATATTAACAATTTGTTGATGACTAATCTTACACATTTCTACATCTAGTGATGGCAATGTCTGTTAACGAGACCGCACGTCAATCATATCAGATTAATCTGACTATTCCTGCATGTTTAAAATGTCTGCATGTTACATGTTACACATTTCAAACACTTTTATTTCATTCTTTCTGCATTTTCCAATACCCCGACCGTACTATCTAGAATGCACTGTGGCAAAATAAGACAGAGAGATAGATACTTTATTGATCCCTCAAGAGGGAAATTTTGGTATCACAGCAGCATGTACAGGGAAGAAAATAGAATAAAAAGATACACATTGTACACAATATAATAAGATAGAAATATTAAATTATTAAATTAAATTAAATAAACTAAAACTGAAACAAAAGAATAACCTTCCAAAAGAGACAATAATAATCATTTGTAAAAGGAGAAGAGCAAGAGCAGCAACATCACAGCAGTACAGGGTTATTATTGTTATTATTGTCATCATTGTCAAAATAAAACAAGATGCAGGCATGCATTCCTTTCTGGTACACAATATATTGCATTAAATATGCAAGATGTCATACGGATACAAGTGTCCAATAAAGGTTTTTTTTCTTTCTGCCTAACCTTTTCAGCGCTTCCATTAAAGGGTGTGGGGAGGCACGGGAGGACAAGTGAAGAAAGAGGAAGCACAGAGTGAAGTGTCTCTCTGCTTAGACTTTCATTTAGGCTCCAAGGATCAATTACACATCTGAGAACACCTAATGACACCCATGTCTGTCTCTCTCCGCACCCTTCTCCCATCGCTTCGTTCATTACCATGGTATTATGGTATACAAAGTACTTTGGGTAGACATGGTTTGCATAATGTAAATCAGTGTGTTTTGGGAGAGCGATTTGAATGGTGCATGCGCGCATCATTTTGTTGCAGAAATGCCATTTTGAACGAGGACTGTAAGGAGGAGGATTTGTGTTCTCCAATACGCACAAATCAGCACCCAGACAACACACAAAGAAAATTTAGTTTTATCACTGTTGGAAGAATAACGTTGACTAACAATAATCGAGTGAACAAAGCGTGAATACATTATGAACAGATTGGCCAACACAAAGAAAATATCACATTACACATACAAAGAAAACACCCGGGGGGGAAGAATGCACACACACCACACCTTAAGTTGTATTACCGAAATGGAAGCCTCTCCCCCATGCCCCCACAGAAAGAAAAGCCCCAAACTTCAGATCAGTGTTTTACACTTATACACTATATAGAAGTTTGGAGTTTGCACGTCGAAAAGCATTTTGTTTGGTGTTTGTTAAGTTCGGAAAGGATTGTTTTGCTTTTGCAAAATTTTACACTTGCACCAAATTGTAACGTGAGTTATCAGCAGCCCGTTAATGAACTGTCTTAAAATGGGCTGAGATAACCGTGTGCACCAGGTTGTGTTGTTGTCTAAATGGAGAAAAATGTGTGTGATATGCACATTCCCACACATTCAGGAGAGGAGAGTGTTACGGCCCTCTGCCCCCCCCCCTGTCTCCTTCTTTGTCTATGTTCTTGTTTGCAGATTGGAGACGGGTGGAGCTGGAGGAGACCCGTTAAGGTGACAGGTTGCACCTGCGGGTGGAGCCAGCCAGGTGTTAAAAGTTCCTGGTGCCCGGCCTGCTCGCTCGCTCTCTCTACCAGCACCATTTGATTTAGTCTTGTAACACCTACACGTCTTATATTCATCCATGCATTTCCATTACACCCCTCATATGCCTACTTTCACACTTCACCAGTTTATTTTCCGTTGTATATTCATACTTTGTTAGTTCTCGAATAAAACCTTTGTTATTTATTTTAAGTCAACGTGTGGACTCCCTTGTTAGTCACTTTCCATGAGCCGGGTTGTGACAGAAAGAGAGTCCATGAACACAAAAGCAACAATGAAAGAAACAAATCCACATTAACAGTGTTTTAACGTAATGTTTTTTTCAATTTTGGATATTTTTATCGAATACCCAGCGTTGTAGTCTATATTTTTGTAGTGAGTATACAGCCCGCTGACGGGGGGGGAGGGCGTTAGTTAGAACAAGATTCAGGGGAAAGAATCTCAGAGGAAATTAGATATATTTGCAATTTAATTATCATTTTTCCGGTGAAAGGACAAAAATTTCAAAAAAACTGCGACCGCTGCGGAACCTTAGAAGGGGAAGGCTTTGAGCGGCGCACACTAGAGTAAAGATGGCAGACGTACCAAAGGATGCGCCTGAGCGTGAGTCTTTCAACTTAAGCTTTCTTCGTGTTTCTGTACGACAATAAATTTGATTCTTAACTGGTGACGTTGCTCCTAACTGCACGCGTGCGTTTTGTGTTTCAAACCGACGCGTCGCCGCCCGCTTCGTGCCTGTCACTCTTCATCTCCCCGTTGCCATGACGTTCTTACACCACCACAGCTTTCATCCCATTAGTTAGCTAACGTTAAACTGTTAGCAAAGTAAACATATAGAACGGTACTATAAAATAAGACGGAACTCTGGCGGAGGCACGAAGGCCAACAATGCATTTAAAACGTTACGAAAGTGTTTTTTTATACTGAACGTGAAGCTAAGAAGCTAACGTTTGGTTGGCTG